TTAAATTACACTTCACATATCTTTTTTCTAAAGATAGTTTCTGTCATTTACTGTAGTTTCTATCACGTTGATGTAATTTCAAGTGTTTGTTTTTAAAATAAGTTAGTTTTTAGTTAGTTATTTGATGCTATAAAAACGGTGCTGTGACATCATGATTGACAGCTGTGATTGACAGGTTCTCTGTGTGAAGTAGTCACTGAAGCACCAACGGACTTTTTTTCATAATGTTGACTATGTGGTTAGTAGTTGTATTTACCTTATTTTAACGAGGTACTGCAATCAGCAGACATCATTTGAGAGGAACGGAGCAGACAAGGCCACTTAAGAAAAGTGCAGGGCGTGTGCTTGCGATTGATTCAACGAGCAGACTGCACAGACTCAAGTTCCAATATGTCAGCGCCATATCGGGACTCTGGCGGCTTCAGTTCTCTCCAATGGAAAAGAGCGAAGGGGCGTCGTCCATCTTTTTTTACAGTCTATGCTTGCATCGCGCTGATTCGCGCAGGCTCAACAAAACACAATGTAGCTTTTGCTCGCGCTACACCGCTACTTGCTGCAAAAAGTAGTTAGCTACTGGAAAAGCTACACTGTTTAAAAAGCAACTGAGCTACTGCCAAGCTACTGAAAAATGTAGCTAAGTTAGTAGCGTCGCAAACTTGTAGTTAACTACTCCCCAACACTGTGCTTTTCCAACTAATCGACATTGTAGTAAAAGACACCAAACCTCTTTTGGCCAACAAAGTGCAGCAGCCACACGTTCAAAAGCAGTGAAATATGCATCCACTTCGGATTCTCTAAAGTGAGGCACTAAAGCAATCTGCTTACTAACATCAAATGTAGCTAGTGGTCGAAACATCACTCACAGAATTTGCCGAATTTACTGAAATAACAGGATTAGGCTGCGCAGCACGGCCCGAGACAACCTTCGCTGACTCCAACTCAAGCTGTCGCAGTTTCACCTGTGTCTCAGCTTCAATTTCCAGTTTACGAACTTCTAGGCATAACGTCATTTCGGCTTGGCGTGTCTCAGCTCCTTCCTGCGCTTCCATCTGGATTCGGGCTAAGCGGACCCTCAGTCGCGCATCACCCCCAGACTCAATGGAAGGCGGAGAAAGTGGATAGAAGGGCGGTAAACCAGCCTTGGGCTCAGCATCGACCTCCACCTCGGCAGTCTCACCTTTTGCCTCCTCCATACTCCCCACGCTAGTCAGACGCCTTTCCACAACTGACATGCCAGCCCTCTCACTATCCGTATCTGGAAATGAAAGTATTTTTAATTGAACCAAGTGTTTCAAAATGTCATTTTTAATAATATGCTTTAGCGATTGCCTCACCACAGGAATGCGATAGTGTCCAGCTATCTGCAACAAATCGTCTTTTCTACAGAGCTCAAAAATGTCCAAAGTTGGATTAGCAATAAATACTTGCAAATCAAAAGTACTCATATCAATATTTCATTATACTCACGTCAACATGCACAAACAATTCCTTTCCCACACCATACAAAACACACACCAGCAAAATTTTATTTTATTTTTTTGACGAGCACCCAAATATGTTACGTCCCTCGTTAGAGATTATACTTGTCTAGGAATAATATTGGACACACATATTTTGCATTTACGTGTGTGTCAATACAGCAGCGGGTAACCGCATGGGAAAAGAAAACAGACAACCCAAACTTCAGTTGAAAAGGTTTAATTCCTCAACTGCAATAAAGTGAATTAATAGTGAAATAATAAAATAGTAAAGTAATGCAGTAATGAGGCAATACAATGTAGCAAAAATCATCAAGATCAACAGTCAATCTGGTGGAGAGGAAGGAGCAAGAGAGTGGTGTTTAAATCAAAGAACTAAATATAACCAAAGAAACAATCCTCTAACTAAAGTTAAAGAAATAAACTAACTATCAATAAAAGATGTAGAAAGAACGTATATAAAAACATAACTACGTAGCACGGCGTACGTAACATCCATAATAAAGGCTAGATGTCTTACGGCGGAGTCTCTATCGTCATCACCGGTGGCCATCTTGTCACAGGCAAGCTTTCTGGCGGGCTCTGTGGTACCTGATGTAAGATGAGTGATCAGCACGAACACAAATACTCTTATCTCGTTGAAATCTTGACGGATATACAAACGGTTTGGTTTCTTACAAACGTTATTAACGTGGCTATAATTCTGGATGATTATTTATTTCTACACTTATTATTCATAAGTATGCAGTGTCATAACTACATCTCTGACGTTTATAACAAACCAAACCGTTTGAAAATCGGTAGAATATTAAGCAAGTTCTGGTTATTTAAAAAGTACATGCACCATTAAAACACAATGTTACGAGTGAGCGAGCTGCCTGTGACAAGATGGCCGCCAGGTGCAGACGTCGACCTCCATTGGCCAGCAGCGCGGATGAGACATCTATCCTTTATTATTATTATGGATATATATGGCGATAACACCAAACTTAACACACCTGCTCCCCATTCACACCTGAGACCTTGTAACACTAACGAGTCACATGACACCGGAGAGGGAAAATGGCTAATTGGGCCCAATTTGGACATTTTCACTTAGGGGTGTACTCACTTTTGTTGCTAGCGGTTTAGACATTAATGGCTGTGTGTTGAGTTATTTTGAAGGGACAGCAAATTTACACTGTTACAAGCTGTACACTCACTACTTTAAATTGTAGCAAAGTGTCATTTCTTCAGTGTTGTCCCATGAAAAGATATAATAAACTATTTACATTTACAAAAATGTGAGGGGTGTACTCACTTTTGTAAGTTACTGTATGTATATATACTGTATATATATATATATATATATATATATATATATATATATATATATATATTAGCATTTTTTTCTTATACAATATGCATTTGGCAGATTATTTTTATCCAAAGTGATTTACCAATGACCTTGCTAGCGCCATGCTCTTGATGAGAAGCCTTGAAAGCACCCTGACAAAAATGGTAACCTAAAAGTGTTTTTTTATTATTAACTGGTTTTATTCAAAATTATATGAAATTATAGATATAATTATATTAAAAAAGGTTATATAATTTAACATTATACTGAACTACGGGAATATACATTCATTTATGCCAAAAAAAAAACTAATTTTTATGGGTTAAACCAGGTAGAAATATAGTTCTTTAATGAAACAATAGCAGGTTACGATTTTTTCAATAATGGCCCATTGTACCCAACATCACTTTTTATTAACCAAAGGATGGGACTTGCTGTTCAGTAAGTGAGCCATGTATACATTCAGTATCAATTCATTCAGAAATCTCTCAGATTTCATTAAAAATATCGTCATTAGTGTTCCGATGATGAACAAAGGTTTTATGGGTTTTTGGAGGAAATCAGGGTGAGTAGCCTAATTAATGACAGAAATTTCATTTTTGGGTGAACTGTCCCTTTAATAAAATGGTCAGTTTTATGTCTTGATAGTAACTTGCCCTGATTGTCAATTCATTTGTATCCGTATGAAACGAACACAGTACTATTGTGCAGTGTCCGTTTCACAGTATGTTCTTACCACCGTTGGGGAGGTGTCAAAGTTCTGCCAGGCTCAGCAATATGCTTGTTTGGGCTGCTCCCGGCATCAGTTTTCTCTGCAGTGGCTCTGGTGAAAAGCCAAGTTCTGATCATGATCCTGTTAAACCTCTGATCCAGTCCAAAGGCACACCATGTATAGTTACATAAATCAACATTATTGCCTAATGTTTTTTCTTCTATTCATATTTTTATAAATATGAATAGAATAGTTTTATTTTATTCTAGTTTTATTTTCTAGTTTTATTTTATTTTATTCTAGTTTTATTTCTTCTGTTTATATAATTATGAATATTTGTATACATTTGAAAATAAAGTATTTAAATAGTTTGACAGTGATGTCATTGAGTAACCTGGCAAAAGCTATTGTCGCCTGCGTGCTTATAATGCAGCACTGGCTGTTTTGATTTTCTATTTTACTGCAGATGGCACGTGACCCCTCACAGTGACCTGTAAAACTAATCTTAATCTCATTTAACTTCATCTTGTCCACATCCGTAGTTACAGAACATATGTAAGCAATAGGGGACACCGGAAAGTGTTCAGATTAAAATTAGTTTTTAGAAATGAGCAGAGGTGCAATCATACATGACCAAAATCACCCTATGATCAGCCAGTAGAAGTTGTGTAAGTAGGCTATATGTAACAAAAAAAATGTCCACACAAGGACAAGGATTTCGCCATCTTTGTCCCCATAATAGGGTATACCTGAATCACTCACACACACACAGTCTGTTATTTTATGTATTTATTTTATAGTTGTTTCCAGTGGGGTGGTGATGGTAATTATATATCAAACATAATTTTATTACTTCAGTTAATTCATGCTTAAAATTTTAAATGTCCATGTTTTCAATTAGTTTTCAACAGATTGTGGGCTGTAACAATGTCACTTTTTGTAGCCCATATGAAAATAATTGACAGTTTAAGGACAATTTTTAAAATTCACATACTATCATTTATATTATTTCATTTCATTTCAGTTTATTTATATAGGGACAGTACAAAAAACATGATCCCAGTCAAAGCTGGAAAATATGTATTGTACCTATATTGCTTAGACAAGCAATATATCAACATGACAGATGTTAAAACAATCAACTCTGCACGGTCACCATCCCCCTATAAATACAATATAACTTAAAGGTTATAGTATATTAGGCTACACAAAGCCCTAAGTAATAGGCTACTCAAATAATCCATGTGTTAAATACACTCATAATTAAGGCCTTTATCTTTGCTACTGGCCACCGATTAAAGAGGACTTTTGGAGAGATATGTAGGCTACCCTTTGTTAAGAAACTCTCTCGCTAACTTGTTGGATTAAAGCTGCTTGATTTTTTTTCAAGGAGGTTATTTTATAGCTACAAGGGCCAGTGACGTTAATACTACAGCCAATCCGATTGCTCCAATCGCTGAAGTTCATTTGTTGACTGTCGCTCTTCTTGTCAGCAGCACCAGCGCGTGAAGCGCGGAGTCAGTAGTTCAAAGGGCAGGGGATCATTAATAATATCCACCGATGGAAATCTTTTACTCGGTATGTGTAGTTTAAGGTAAGTTTTGCGATTCAATACAATACGTTCTTCTTATACAGATTATTAAACCTCTCCGCGCGCCTGTTACATCACTACAAAATGCTTCATCTGATCGCCGGACTCATATGCGTCTATGGACTGACGTGTGTAAAAATTGTCTATGGACAAAATGAAAAAGGTGAGCGTTTTCTATGCACTGCAGTCCCCATTGACAAGGATACAAGTTGCCCCGTGCAGTCTCTGCCTTTTCAAAGCTCATCGGTCCAAGAGGAGGAACTGAGAAACACGGTCATGCAACTTCGCGAGATAATTTTACAGCAGAAGGAGACAATTGTCAACCAGTTAGGAACAATTAAAGAGTTGACGTCTAAACTGTCACGATGCGAGTCTGACTCTGAAACATTTAGGAAAATTAATAAGGACACAATGGATGATGTGCCTAAAGATCCAAATGACACCATTGACGTTCTTGGAAAAACAATGCAGGGTCTGAAGGATCGACTGGAAAACCTAGAGGTAAGAGATCGAGTCATATAAGTTTAAGTAACATATAAGTTTGACGCTTTGCCGTGTTCTAAATGTGTAAATAAAGAGATTAAATGACTAAAAGCAGTTGTGCTGGATGTTTCTCTGCCACGACTATTTTGGTAATTATGTGGAGGCGTTGAAGATTTACAGGGATTATCTCATTAGTTAGTAGTCTCTATCCCTTAACCACAAACGGCAAAGTTACTTATGATGCCCCACGCGACAAAATGTCTGGAACGTGTCAATGCCACTTAAATGTCAGGTGTTAATCTGACTGTGTGAAATGATGGAGCTAACCCTAACTCGATATTTTTTCACATGAAGTGGTTTTATCTGTCACTGAATGATTTTTCTTTAAGAAACTACAGTTTTGTGGGAAGTTCATTTAGTTAGTTCGTGTTTTAGGGTTAATTGCTCAATGAAATATTTTCCCTTTTTGATAAAAGGCAGAATTGGGCAAAAATTCCATTTCCATTAAATATAGACCAAATTAATTCCTTAAAAATATTTTTCCAGTGTTTACTTACACTGGAAAAATGGTAGGCTGTTACTTCTCAATTAACTGGTTTTATTCAAGTTATCAAGTTAAAACTATTATTTAACATCACTGTTCCAATATAATTAACCAAGATTAATTTATATAAATGTCAACAAAACTAATTAAATTAGGTAGAAATAGCCTAGAGGTAACACTTTAGTTTGGGGTCCAATTCTCACTATTAACCCGTTGCTTATTAGCATAGGCTACATATTACTAATATTGGCTGTTTAGCAATTATAAAGCACATATTAATGCCTTGTTCTGCATGAACATATTTTATATCCCTAATCTTACCCAATACCTAAATTTAACAACTACTAGCTATTATTAAGCAGTAATTAGAAGTTTATTGAGGCAAAAGTCGTAGTTAATAGTTATAGTGAGAATTATACCCTAAAAAGTGTGACCGAAATAGCTCTTTAAAGTAACAATTGCAGGACAGGTTAGCTCTTTTTACAATGTCCCTATAAATATCCATAACCGAACAGATATATGCTCACGAGTCACGACACCTATTAATTCTTTTTTGTCCTGATCAGAGATTCATTTACATGATTTTATTGTTTATTTATCCAACATGGTGTAACTTCAAGAAGGCATTCTTGGTTTTTCAGAGATGCAAAAAAAGTGATGGTTTGCCCATGAAAACATCTTTTTAAACATGTTTTTTTAAAAATATGAAAAGAGGCATATTACGTAATTATCATTAGCATTTAATTGATTTTAAGAAACAAAAAATTTGTGAGATTACAAAGCAGAGTATGATTTCTTTTTCTTCAAGAATGACATTGATTTCTTTGACTTCAGCGGCAGTGCAAATGTTTTCACCTGTTAAAGAAGATGCTTGAAACTAAATTTGATTTGTGATTTGTGAATGGAAAAACATTATTAGTACTTAATGTTCTTCATAACTGGGTCCTGGACATCAAATGTTATATTGATGTAAAAAAAAAAAAAGAAGAAAAATGTGTACCAAAAAAGAAAGAAAATGAACTGGATTAAAAGAGTTTTACTTTTTTGTATTGTTCTTAGTTCAGAACGGAATATGTTCTATCAAGCAAAGACAAAGCCTTTGTATAATTCTGTCAGCTATGTTTAGGAATCCAATGATTGTCGTTTTTTTGTCTTTTCTTTCCGAAGCAACAGCAAATGCGAGCCAATATCTCTGGTGGCTCCTTCCCTAATGAGCTGAGAAATCTACTGCAGCGTAGACTGGAGGACTTGGAGAATCAACTGCTGAAGAAGGTCAATGAGCTCGAGGATGAGAAGTCCCAGCTATACAATGAGACAGTCGCTCATCGCCAGCGCACGGACAATACCCTCAACTCTCTCATGAACAGGATCTCTGAACTGGAGAAAGGTTTGCACAAAACACTCCTACGTTCTCTACTTATTCTTATTTCCAAAGGACAAGAGACTGTGAAAGTGTTTTAACATTTTATTTCAAATGTTTGAAACTGTTTAGCACTGTGTGCTTGTGCTTCAAAAATGGCTAAAATTCAAGCCTGATAGCCTTGTGGACAGCGGTCCGACATAGAGAGACAAATATCCGGCGACCTGAGTTCTATCCCGGCTCGGCTCCACCCCATGATTTCCTGTCTGATCTCTATACTGTTCTATCCAACAAAATATATATATCCAATATACAGTAGTCAACATATGAAGTGGATCAAAACCTTTTATCAAAGTTATACATGAATTTTGAACAATAATCATTCTTGTCTTAGAAACTTTGATTCACTTTTTTGATCCACTTTAAATGTTGACTACTGTATATTACCATATTTATCTGGTATAGCGATACAGTTCGCTTCTTTATTTCCTCTACATTAAAATATAGTCTTGATAATAGCTGTCCACATCATTTTTCTTAATGTTTGATTTGAAAGAGTTAGGACTGAGGGTAATCAGGTTGTTTTGTGGTCCGTCAGCATATTTCTGCATTATTCCAGAGATGATGCAATAATAAATCACTCTTTTTGGCTTTTAGGTGGAGCTGGATTCAAATCACCAGAGAATTTCAAAATCTCTCTTCCTCTTCGCACAAATTACCTTTTTGGACAAGTAAAGAAAAGCCTACCAGAAATGTACGCCTTCACTGTCTGCATGTGGCTCAAGTCCGGTTCGAGCCCGGGCATTGGAACCCCGTTTTCCTACGGAGTGCCTGGACAGGCAAATGAGATCGTACTGATCGAATGGGGCCATAACCCCATAGAACTGCTCATCAATGACAAGGTAAAGAAATGACGTGTTAAGAAAAGAAGGCTTGGCATCGATTTTTATGAGGACACTGATGTTCAGTAATCTGCAATTGCAGATTATTAGTCATCATTTAATCATCAGCATTGATAAGTGCATAAGAAAATGTATATTTACTAAAAATAGAAATGTCTTTCCTACTTTTTTTACAATTAGTTCACTGAAAACTGAAAAAGGTTTGATGAAAGTGGATGGTGATTTATATCGCCAAGCTCCAAAAAAAAGAAAAAGCATACAATAAAAGTTGTTATTCTGAAGCCACATGAGTTTAGTTTGAAAAACAGATTCAATTAAAATAATATTTCACTGTTAATCTCTCTATCCACTGCAGCTTTGAAATCCCATTCCCAATTGTGAAAAATTGTGTAAAAAAAAAAGATGTTGCACGAGGTGGAGCCACGTGACTTTAAAAGTTTAAAAAACACTACTCCAAATGCAATTTGAGAGGAAGATTATCAGTGTACAACGACTTAAAGGGATAGTTCAGCCAAAAATGAAAATTCTGTTATCATTTACTTACTCTCTTGGCATTCCAACTCTATATGACTTTCTTTCTTCTGTAAAACATAAAAGAAGATATTTTGAAAAAATCTCTCTCTCTCTCTCTCTCTCTCTCTCTCTCTCTCTCTCTCTCTCTCTCTCTCTCTCTCTCTCTCTCTCGCTCTCTCACTGTAAACACGTTTGATGCGAAAACGAAACCATCGAGCGAAATACCGGAGTGAACATGGCTGACCGAGTTTTGCTGCCTCCTTAACCTGATCCTCCATGAGTGCAACCAAGGGGGACACAATCACAACTATCGCCTTGCCGGCCTTTGGCCTCCCCAGTTTCTCGCTGACGATCGGTAATAGTTGATAAATTAAACTTTTCCCAAAACCTGTCGGGAGTAGGGCCACGACATCACCTCCATTCAAAATGTTTAACAAACACTCTTCTTGTTCGGGCTTCAGTTTGCAAATGCCGGGAATATTCTCCACAATAGAGCGAATTGCATCCCGTGTCTCCATAATCCGCGGTCGTTTTCGATTTCCCTAACCTAAAATACAATCTTAAACTCGGTGCTTAGCGTCTACGTCACGGCTCTCAGCCCGCCCTCTGTTCGTTGATTGGCCGGCTGTTTTCAGGCCGGAGGAAAACTGAGAGACATGTCGATGTCTCAGACTGAGTACAGAAGCGAACTGAAATTGAGCGGAAGTACGAAGTCTGATGCAGTCAGGCTATGGCAACATGGTCTGGTTACCAACATTCTTCAAAATATCTTTTTTTTTTGCGTTCTACAGAAGAATGACTTAAGGGTAGTAAATGATGAAAGAATAAAAAAATTTGGTTGAACAATCCTTTTAAATTTCAGTCTGTTTGTCATAAAAAGCAATTGTACAGCTTCATATGACTACTTTTGTTTCTTGACAGTATAAATCACCATCCATTTTCCTTGTGTGGAAAACAGAAACATAAGATCTCACTTTGTGCTTCAAAAAAAAAAAGAAAATTGATAAACTATTAATATTGATCAACTATTTTTTAATACCTCCTGTTGTTAAATAGGTGGTGCAACTACCTCTATCACTGAGCGATGGGAGGTGGCACCATGTCTGCATCACTTGGACTACCAGGGATGGGCTTTGGGAAGCCTACCAGGATGGCCAAAGATTGGGTTCAGGAGACAATCTGGCCCCCTGGCACCCTATCAAGCCTGGAGGAGTCCTCATCCTGGGCCAAGAGCAGGTGAGAACATAAGCAGAGCTGATACAGCAGTTCCCAGACCCAGCCGCTCTGTAGCTGTAATATTATGCCATCCCTGCACAATAGTGTTACTGACTCATGAACTTTACATTTTAAATAAAGCTTGACCTCAGGCAGCAAACAATGTCATAGAGTTAGCATGCACATGCTCTAAGAGTGAATAAAAGGGGATATTGTTGTTGTCTTAACGAGGCCTGTCGTTTATGGCCTCAACAGGATGTAGTAGGGGGGCGCTTTGATGCCACCCAGGCCTTTGTGGGGGAGCTGAGCCATTTTAACATCTGGGATCGGGTCCTGCGCTCCACGGATATCATTGCCATGTCAAACTGCTCATCCTACATGCCTGGGAATGTGGTGGCCTGGACCGACAGTAACATCGAGGTGTTTGGAGGAGCCTCAAAGTGGCCGCTGGAGCTATGCGAAGACCGGCTATTTGACAATTAAAAGTGTTTGTGGATATTTGTGAGCGATATGATATCCTTTTCATCCTCAAAGAAGATTTATCTTCATCATTCAAACAAGAAGTAGCAAATAGTTCTAAGAATAATCAACAATATATTTAAATATTTTTGGAGAGATTACAACATACAGATAAATGTAACATTTCAGTTATTATATTCTGTTGACAAATTTGTGGCTTAAGGAAATTGGCATTACAGAAAGTATTGTATCAGATGGTATGGTACTCTGATAAATACCATGTAAATGAATGATCATCATGTTTATGAACCATGTATTTACATGATACTCCATGGTACATGTCACCTTGTTGGTTTACAGAAAAGCACACACACACGCTTATCCTGTTAGAATATAGCTGCGTTAAGCCCAAGTCACGTTTCATTACTAAGTTTTTGATTTGAAGAACAAGCTCATGTATTATATAGGAAGATTGTGTGCTTCTGCTTCACAAGTCAAAAGTCTGAAATTTAGACTTTGGTGAGGGAGACCACATTTAAGATTACTTTTACAGTTAGCCTGTTTAGCATTAGCACAAACCATCAGAGCAAATAATGTGGTTAAACCACCATCAAGCTTTTTAAAGTCTGTCAAAGGTTCTTATAAATACATATTTATTTAAAAATATAGAGAACCAACTCTTTTTAGAGTCTAAAGCCCATCTCCATTTTCGCTGAGTGAATTACCCATTGAAGATTATAAATGCTTTAACACTGTCAGATATTTTGAAGACAATTAATGAACTGTGAATTATGTTGCAAGGTCTGTTTCTTTGAATATATGATCATATTTTTATACCCTGCTTTTATATCAGATATGTCATTTAGTGTTGTTTTGTTTATGCAATGTCAAGATACCCATATTTTGTTTAATGAAAAGCCTTTTTTGTTTACTGTGCCAATTATTCAAGGTTTGCTTGACAGTGCTTACCTGTAATTGCCAATGAAAAATAAAATAGCGTTGAAATCTTGTTGTTCTTCTGCTATATTTTCTATTGTGGTTTAATCTGTTTTGTTTTTCAACACCAATAAATAAATGTAGTATTGTAATAGGCAGTAATTTTCTATATAACAGACATTGGTCATTAGCCCTTGTTCATTAGCTTGTTTGTGGCAGTGGTAAATTTGTTTTTTTCCAAATTTACCCAAATATACTGTAGAAAAGTGTGTAATGAGAATCAAACCTCTGCAGATATAACTGGTTGAGGTCAAAAAGTGGAAGGAAAGCATGTAATCACACCGTTCTGATGGACAGGTGGCTCAGAGGGCATTAGCCTGTCTTAAGGGATAAGATCAGTCCCAAGCCAAAGCTCGTGTCACAGAGGGACATTTCACAGGACTGGACAAACTATTTAAAAAAAGAAAATGACCTTTAGAGAGGTGGACATAACATTCAAAAGTTAATGGGTGGTGTAAGAGGTCAGCGCACACAGTTTTAAGCCAGGGATATTGAGAAGATCTCTGGGTTCTAGAAAGAAAACAGCTGCATCTCTGTGACCTTCACCTATAGGGAGAGAAAATCTCCGGCTTCCCCACAGCTCACATCCCTGAGATGATTAACACTTTAAAGAATTCTGTTTACTCATGCTCTGCCAAATGCATTTCAGTCACACGTCAACATTATGAGCTTTGAAGGGAAGTAGATAGCGGATTATACTACTGGCTGTGTGATTTATAATTTGCAAAACAGCATTAATCTGAACAAGAAAGAGTGACATATTTAGTATTTGTTTAGAATTATAAACACATAATTGGATCATTTAAAACATTACCGCTGAAAGTATTATAATAATAATTTCAAAAGATTGTGAATGTTTTTTTTTTTTCATGAGGCACAGTTTGGGGTTGTCACTATTAGATGTATTAGTAACATAAAGGTGGACACTGTGTTTATTGAATTTACTGAATTTAATTATTGGGTTTTATGTGAAAATACTGATGAGGTCTCAAAGGTGTAGCTGTTTAAAATCTATTTAAAATGTAAAATTCAGTCATAAATTATGAATAATACAAAACATATATGTTAGAAGCACCTTAATTAAAAATAAATTCATTCTCTGAGTAAAAAAAAAGACGTAAAATTATGACACATCAAAGGTTTGAATTTATTGATGACTTTATTATCTCCAATAGCTAGATCTAGATTTTTTTAAAGGAAATCAATACTTATATTCAGCAAAGATGCATTAAATTTATCAAAAGTGAAAGAATAAGAATAATGCGACAAAATTTTCAACATTTTAAATATATACTCTTCTTTGGAACTCTCTATTAATCAAACAATCCTGCAAAAATTCAACAAATTTGAACTGTTTCTTGATCACCACAACAGAATCATGTCTGAAGGCTCACTTGACACTAAAGACTGCTGAAAATTGAGCTTTGCCATCACAGAAATAAATTGCATTTTAAAATATTGAAAAGTTATTTAAAATACTAATAATATTTCACAATATTACTTTTACTGTATTTTTGTATTCAAATAAATAAATTACTGCTTTCACTGTATTACTGTTTTTACTGTATTACAGTTTTCCAATAAATAAAGCCTTTGTGAACATAACAGACTTCTTTCAATATATAAAAAAAATCTTACTGACCCTGACCTTTTGAACAGTAGTGCAAGTTATGATAAATCAGTGTGTAGGCGACAGGTTGTACTAATTGGTCGACCGTGTCCTCATGAAAAAAAAAAACAATGAGACCAATTTTTGCTTAACTTGTGTAAAGAAACATTTTCAAGTCCTTCCACATACATATGACTCCCGTTACACTTAAGTTCCAAGGGCAAGAATAATGCCTCAGCTTTTGAGCTGAAGGGCACAGTTATTACTAGACGTATGATGCATTGCTCATCTGTAGCCTTTAACCTACAGAGATATTGTGCAGTCCCTTGTGGAGCTGTAATTCTTGTCTTCCTGGTACCTCACAGTGCAGATGGCAAATGTCATTGATCATCACAGCAGGAATATACAGGTCAGACTCATTCATTCCAGCAGAAAGCTCTAGGTCTTATACAAGGAAACTCACTCATAATCACTTGCAAAGAAATATGATGGTTTTCTGTTTCTGTGTTTTGTACATTTGGGTCAGGTTTAAAATCGTAACAATATTCCAAGGCATGCTTGTTGAACTGCATGCAATCCCTCTAACCTTATGTACTTTCCTACTTTAAAAGGTCCATCACCAATGTCAACATCCATTAGGATCTCAAGGAGTTTTGCATTAACAAATGGAACCTTCATAAAGTGGAACCTTGAAACCTACTCGAGTATGAACTAAAAGAGCAGAGAAAACAGGAAGGAGAATTAGTGTGTTCACATCGACAGAAGAGTGATTCAGATGAGCAAAATGAAACGCTTTCATGGCTTCTGATTTGGGTTATTCATAGGATTGTCTATACCTGTCTTCTCTATCTTAGCTTCAAATGTAAATAGATTGACAATGTAGCAAAATAATGAAATTCATGCATTGAAAGAAGGATCAAAAGGAAAGGAATACTTCAAATGTGTTTTAGTTTGGGGCGGTCACAGTGAGACTAACAGGGTTGGGTGTTGTGGGAAGCCCCCGGCTGATGAAGAAGGGGCAGGGCTTCATTTGTCTTAGAAGCAGGAGAATTGCCCTATAAAGGGATGGTTGCATCCTTGACACGCAACTCGATGTCTGTGAAGGAGAGATAATTCCTATCTGCGACCTGAAGACAGACAAAAAGAAAAATGACACTTATTATATTTGCTAACGACACCTAAATACATCTACTCTCAGATCATATACTATAATCTGATATAAAAATCGCATAACTACAAACTGTCACTCTGCTGTTTTGGCTGTGCTCACCTGTCACTTTTTATTTCCTGACCTGCATAACTAAAACCTTCATTGGAAAAGTATAAAATAATTTTAAAAAACTACTAAAAGTAAATAAATTGAGGACAAAATATGATCATATTTTTTTAAATATGAAAATATGATTCTGAACAGTGTGATTTAGTTTTTTTCCCCTGGCCAGTTGCATGCACTGTGTCTTACATATGTGTATTACATTCTTAAAAATAAAGGTTCTTCATTGGCAACAATGGATCCACAAAGAACCTTTAATATCCATGGAACCTTTCCATTGGATTCCATTCCATGGAAAGAGGTACTTTATTAAAATGGTCTTTACACGTAGAAAACAATAATTCTCTTAAAAACTGTTCACTAAAAGGTTCTTTGGGGAACCCAAAATGATTATTGAATGGCATTCCTGTGGAAAACTCACTCTTGGAACTTTTATTTTTAAGAGAGTTAGGCAACTATCAGTTAGGCAAGGGGTAATCAGTCTAAATTATTTATTAACACTTATTTTAACTAATTAAGTAAATGTAACTAATAGAGTCATGATAATAAAAAAAAAAAACTATTTAATCTAACCTTTAAAACTACATTCATTTACGTATAAATGTATTTAAAAAACTTCTAGGAGACTATTATATATATTAAATAATATTTTAACCCATAGCTTATTTTTAAGATAATACATTATACAACTTAACCCCCACAAAAGGAAGAAAGAAGCATGGACTAGTTACTTGAAGAATAATTTAGCATCCTCTAACAAAGGCTTAAATACTTTCTGGTGTATGTCAACCTCTAGTGGACAAACCTGAATGTTACACTTAATTAAAGCTATTTACACAAAAAAAACGCAAAAAATATAAACATCTTCACATTATTCTCTGTTCTTGTTCTCTTTCCTGATGTGAATCACTCACCAGTGCCTTAGACATGAGGGATTGCTGCCGAGGACGACACACTGACACAGAGATGAATATGAGGGTAGCAACAATCACTGCAGCGCAGGGTAAAATGAAGAGAAGACTCACAGCTGAGGGGAAAATATATTTACATGTGAGATTGAATGTATAACAGAAAAATAGTAAACAATGATATGCGGGAAATGGGACTGGACGGCCGAGTCACAGCCTATTCCAACAGCATAATCAATAGTGATAAAACTTTTATACAGCAAATAGTCAAATAAACAAGAAGCTAATATTTTGTAACTTACATTTTAGACACAATATTGCCAGTTACATTGTCTGTGCTCTACTAAGCTCTAAACAAAGTTTAATAATTTGACTCAGAGTCAACATGTTTCCAACCAACAAAAGTGTTTCATTACTGAATAAACTGGTGTTTTGAACAATTCAGTTGATTAATGATTCAATGATCCAATCTCTACTGGAGGTGCGTTTATACTGACTTGAGACTATAATACCACCTGAGCACTGCAGATCCATTGGCTACATCTGAAAACTTAAGCAGCTGACATTTAGGGCAAATTCCAAACAGAAGTGAGCATCCCCATGCCCTACTCCATTTGAAGGGCAGAGCCCTTGAAGTGGGGACTTTGGAGTGAGCATGGCACTTGCGTGCCATTATGTAGCCGTTTGGAACGCACTTGGGGAAGGGAGCAATGAACGACAATAAAATTTCCTCATTATCTTAACCTCGGATGTTCCCATGACAACGCAGCATGGTGTTTATCAGCTGTTCTTACGACAGAAATGTCTTATTATTGCTGTTTCAAATAAATATAGATTTTATTTTAAAAAGTTATTATGGCATATAGACAACTCCCGTATTGCAGATAATGCTGTCTGAAGCAGGTATGTCAACCAACTCAGTGATGTGGGCTATGTAACATAAACATAACACCCGTAACTATTCTCCAAATAGAACAGGAATATATGTGAACAAAAAGAAAAAGAAAAAAAACTCCTCACGAATTTACACAGTTAGGACGGAATGTGCCAGTGATGGCTCTGTGACATCCAGTCTATAAAATTGGACAAATATGTGAGGCGAAGCCCAACTTGCTGAAACGCCCTTAAATATTGCCCATGAGGTAGCCTAGAATGTGCCCTTAGCCCTTCTGGAGGACAGATACCCATGCTATTATAACCTAATATAATACACGGACAGGGCACAAGCAATGAAGCCGCTCATCTTTTGATGAGGAAAAAGCCTGCGGATGGAAAGCCAGTAAATCCACCTCTTTACAGGGGAGAGCTGACTCGCTTACTTTAGGCACAAACGCTGGATTAGTTTTAAGAGTCACCCTCTAATAATCCATATCAAACCGCATGCAGAAGTTATGAACCGACAAAGCATAAATTTCACTAACCTGCTTTGCGGTCAACAGAGCCAATAATAAAGCAGTTTTTAACAAAAGGAGTTTTAAATCAATACTATCTATAGGTTTAAAAGGGGGTTGAGATTGTGCATTAAGGACCACAGACAGGTTCCATAGCGGAATCAATGGCTTTGAAAACCTTTGCAAACTCCGCGCACCTCTCATAAACCTGCATACGAGCGGGTGTTGACCTATGTTATTTCTGTCAATCCCCACGACATGCAGAAATTGCGGCAAGATTAACCCTTAATCAAAAGTTCAAGATAACTTCCAGAGAACAGAGAAAAGGGACGATGTGCCTGTGTGTTCACGATCGCTCAAACACATTCCATTTCCGATCATATGCAAAGCACGCTGAAGCCGCTCTCGCATTCTGAATAGTCTCAATAGCCCTCACAGGCAAACCTGTAACACTCAAGTTTAACCTCCCACGGGCCATAATCTCCCCGAAGAGGCTGGTCGCATAGGAGTTGAATTCTCCGTACCTCGGTCAGCCACAACTTGCCAGTTCGGGGAGATTAGTATGACTGAGTGACCGCATTACCTTTCTCTTTTTAGTGTTGGTACGATCAGACTGTTGAGAAAACAGTAGTGCGTTTGGCCATGTGTGCGCCAGAGCCAGAGAGAAGAATAGAGGGCAATGAGCGTTTTCGTGCAAGGCGAAGAGATCTACAGCAGCTCGGCTGAACCTCTCCCACAACTGGCTCACTACCTGAGGGTGGAGAGTCCACTCTCTGTACAGGGGGTTTCCCCTGGACAGGAGATCCACCCCCACATTCATTATTCCTGGAACATGCATTGCCCGTATAATGAATGAAAATGCTTTATGCCCCACACAATCAGCTTTCATGCCAAACTGAGAAGCTGAGAAGAACGTGTGCTTCCCTGGCGATTTATGTATGCCACCGCCGTTGTGTTCTGATCAAAATGTGGTGGTTCCTTAGGAACTGCACAAAATGTTTCAATTCCAGAAACACTGTTAACAATTCTAGGAAGTTTATGTGTGCGTTCTCTAGCGAGACAGGCCATTTCCCTTTCGCTATCACACACTGCACCTCAACCTGTGAGTGACGCATCCGTTGTAACCACCTTCCTCAGAGAAACTGACCCCAGCAGAGTCCCTGAGTCAAGAAACGCGTGATCCCTCCAGTGACAGAGCGGGCCTGCAGAGTGACGTCAATATCACTTTGCGGTTGAGCTGGAGTTTTGGACACAAGCTGTGCACCACTGTCCAGTTCTGAAACTCTCTCATTCGCAATAGTCCCAGTGGAATAACCAAGACAGTGGAGGCCATCAGTCCTAGCAGACATGAACATAGTCTGAATGCGACCTTCTTCCCTTTCTGAAAAAGGGATAAACAGCCGCGAATTGACCTGATGTGCTCCTCTGACAGAAACACTTGAAACAGGTCTGAGTTCAGTCTGAGACCCAGGTAGATTTTCTCTTGAGTGGGCACCAAGAAGCTCTTCATTTCGTTTATTTTGAAGCCTAAGTTCTCTAAAAGAGACACAAGCATTTTTGTCTCTCTCTCTCTCTCTCTCTCTCTCTCTCTGCCTGCTGCCGTGATGGAGCGCACAGCAGTAGATTGTCCAAATATGCTGACACTCTTAGACCCTTTATTCTCAGGAGTGTGGCTCTGCATCCACACACTTGTTGAACACCCTCGGGCTAATGACAGCCCGAAGGGAACTTTCAAAAATTCGTAGGCTGTGCCCTTATAGGCAAACCTGACGAATTTTCTCTGTGCCGGGTAGATGCCTATGGGACCGTGGGAGAATGGCGCGAGGCCGGTGGCGTGATTGATAATGAGCGACACCTGCACGATGCACCGGTGCGTTATTCCATTCATTCATGTCTCATATCGTACAAGGCTTAAATCATTTAAAAATACATATCAAATAGTAGAACATGTGTATGATGAAGTGTTTGAGTTGATATTACTCTTGCCAAGCTCTGATTTCTGAGAGATGCACGTGTAGACGGCAATGCGGCTTTGATTTGCGCTCGTTTCATTCATAGTGTTTACTCTCACTCATTGACTTCACACACTTATTACTGCATAGAGATGTTAGAGGTTTATGTATAGGCTATAATATCGAGCTACTGCTATCCCCTGGCTCACCTGTTATCCAGTAATCAAGAGGAGGGACTGTGTCAGCCTCATCTGAATATTATTCGGCAGAATTATCCGTTATTCGTTTTGAAGCCATTATCCGTGCCTTTCTGAATAAGGTATTCGGCTTCAGGAACACCCCTAGCAGAAAGCCTCTCTGTCCGTCCTGGCAGTGAAGGAGAGGTGGAGGATAGGGCTGCTCGGCGATTGGGGTTGAGGTGACTTGCCACCAGCAATTCCACCATGGGGGCAATTCTACTTGTCCCAAAAACAGTGCATCTCTGCAACGCATGCTGGGATGGCTGGAATCAGCTGTTTGGCTGGGGAAATGCATGTCGGTAGACTCTTCCCATCATAAAAATCCCTCTCTGTGCCCTGGCCTTCCTGTTGTGATGGCCAGTCGATAAAGAGTTTGGCAGCTGCTCTCCTACACATTTCAATAAGGTCCAAGTCTCCCTGTATGAGGGAGGGAGACTCACCTGTCACACTGCTATAGGACTGGAAGAGAGATTAGAAGGGAAAATTGCATCCTCTACATCTTCCTCCAAATCGTCTTCCAAGAGACGAGCAATCGTCTCATCATCTTCCTCCTCCTCTTTATCCCCCGCAAAGGGGTCTGATTCAACGATGGGGGTGTGGAGTTCAGGAGAGATATCACCCATTAACTCTCCCCAGCTATACTGGGTTTGCTGAGCAGCCGTGTCTCTCTCCGTGGGTGGCGCAGAAATACTTGGATCCCCCTTATTCGCGGCCACGAATAAGGGGATCATTGCATTCTGCGCTCTAATTAGAACGCGCTTAACGAGAAAAGAAAGCAGTACGGGCAGCACTCGGAATTAGTGAGCACGGCCTGTGCGTGTCTAACTCCCAGAGAGAGTTAGACCCGGAAGCCCACGGCGAGAGGGATCTTTAACCTTTGCTGAGCTGCTGGGTGAGTTCGCAGTCGCCATAAAAGAGATGCCCACACCGAGATATTAACTCCATCATTATTGAGCTGTAACGGCTTGTGAAATATGAGAACTCTCCTCAACGCGCTAGTTCCCACCAGAAAAAAACAGCAGAAGAAAAATATTCACTTTGACAGTGAATATTCCCTCGGAAGAATAGGGAAAAATAGCCGCGTTCGGAGACGTGCCTCACCGTGGTGCCTTGGTGCCAACTGTGGTGCCTTTGAGCAAGGCACCTAACCCCCCACTACTCACTGCTCCTAATGTGTGTGCACGAACTTGGATAGGTTAAATGCAGAGGACAAATTCCGGAGTATGGGTTATCATACTTGTCACTTCACTATTCCAAGTGTTCTTATGGTATGCAATAGGGATTAGTGAAAAACAAATCGAAATATTGGACTCAGTGAAAAAATGCAAAGACACTTTTTTGGGGGGATTTCTAGGCATTTACTAAACCTTATTGTATACCCCCAGAACACTTGGAATATAAGGCATGTGTTGCATGGGATCATTCTGTGATACTTTTGCTTCTTTCTTTTTTTTTTTTTAAATCTTGGTGCTGGTCGCTATTCACTGCTATTCGCAAGAAGGACAAAAATTCTCCTTTTGTGGTTGATAAAAGAAAGAAGAGCATACGGCATTAGAACAACACCGGGAGAGTAAACGATTACTTAATATTCAGGCTGTCATTTTAATTTACAACATTAAAAAGTCATAAAGCTTTCTTGAAAACATGAATGTTATTGTGCTGTAATATTGGGTAATTCAGACTTCTCTATGCTGAAGATGAGTGAATCATGAATGGACAATCAGTGGCCTAAAGGTATATGCTGGAGACCATGCTGTTGTGCGTCAAATGTGGTCAGACACAGTATCTTGATGCAAACTGATTTTTAATGGTCATGCTCATTCACGTGGCTCAGCTTTCCATGTATTAAAAGGGACAGTTCACCCAAAATAAATAATTCTGTCATCATGATGTTTGATAGTGTCTCTGGTCCTCATTCACTTTCACTGAATGCAAAGGAAAAGCTTGGACATTATTCTAAATCATTTTGTGTTCCACAAGTCACAGAGGTTTGGAACAACATGAGAAAATGATCATTTGTGCCACAATATGTTCCAATTATGCCACTCTATAAACAAGGATTTCCACAAGGAATCACTCACTTATAGTGACATTTCCAGTTGATTAAAAGATTGTTGTAGAGAATTGTACTATACTTACGGCTGCTCTGCACATAGATGTCGTAGGATGTCTGGAGGTTGCTGATATTATTCCTCACACTCAGGTCTAAGCAATATGTTCCTACTGATGTGAAGGTGTAGTTCAGATTGAATATGTTCCCGTGGAGCCTGACTAAATTGCAGGAAGCTGGACTAGGAGTTTGGCAATCAGACAAAACTCTCCAGCACATCCAAACAGGAGGACTACACACATCAAATGTGATAGAAAAAAATTATGCAATTTTTTACAGGATGATTTTAGAATTAAAACACTTTATGAAGATATCAATTGACTTTTTAAATATATTTTTTTAAACTTTGTTGAAGTACATTTTTACCTTCCTCCAACATGAAAGGACAGACTGCTGCTTTCGTCCACGTTATAAGTTAAAGGTCCTCTCAATTCAATGCTCCTTATAGCATCTACAAAACAAAAGAATCTTTGACATGCCACTTAACATTAACACATTAACACCACTGGTAATATATAAATACAAATAGTCAAATCAGAACATTGATGATAAGCGATAATGACTATGCGCCCACCTAACACAGTCAAATATACAGAGTACAGTCCAGTCATTCTGGAATGTTGGGTGTTATTGGTTCCAATGCTCAATTTAAACGTGTAGTTCCCTGGTAAGGTGTAGTAATACTTCAGAAAAGGCGCCGAGCCTTTACGCACTTCCCTAAAAAACAAAGACAACTGTAAAGAAAACCATTTTATAGTTAATATATCAGATTATTAAAATGGATGATCAAATAAAAATTACCCATTTCCCATGTCCCATGTGTATATAAATGTGACAGAGTGCAGGTTATGTCTCGGGTCAGACAGCTCAAAGGAAACCATGGTGGGTAAGCAAGATGCCAGCTTCCCACTATCCCGCAAGTATGTTGAATTCCCTTCCATTTGATGAAAAATGATCTTTCCTCTGACATTTCCTATGGTAAAATAGAAACTATGTATCATCAAAATCTACAGCAGTGACAACCAAGTCAAAATGGATAAGAGGACTAGTCAGCTTACCAGATAACTGATGGGATAACTCGTCGGGTATCCCAAAAGCAAGAGAGGAAATCAGTGAGAGAAAAGTGTGAACCAGAACACTCCGGATCCTGATGGAAAACAGTTTACAGTTTGAAATAAACATTCAACATAAAAACGAAATGATTAGACAACAGACTGAGATAAATATATGTTTATATCTATTATTTAGAACTATAATATTTACCAGTTCATGTGGCCTCCAAATCTGTACAGCTTGTGACTTGTGAGAGTATGACTGAGACGTTCAAGCTTTTATATCTTTCTGTCTGTTTGGTAAAGGCTTGAAATCATATTCGCGTGTTGAATCCTTATGCTTATCTGAATAATGATGTGCGTTGTGCTGCCAAAGAGAACATAATTCATGCAGAAACGTGACGAATTCACAAGCCCATTCCTCTGGATGGATTTCTAAAGAACGTGCAAAAGTCTCTATATTATCCCAAATCTTTCAAATGATGTAGGCTAGTGACAGGGGCTAGTAAGCCGAGTCACACCTTTCACTATTTCTCAGGTAGTAGGATACTCTAAATATAGTAGCCACAAACGTCCACAAAGCGGCGCTGTAAAAACTGAAATGTTTATCACTGATTCTCTCTGTCACAGAAATTAGCTTAAATTACTCAAATAGGCTATCAAGATTTTAAGAGGGGTTTTTTTTTAACCCACAAACGAAAACGGACAGTCTGCATAATATAGGCTAGGCTAAAATAATATAGACCTAATGATAAAGACTTTCCATGTAGGCCTATTAGGTTATTTCGCCTTTGACTGAACAACTTTACGACTATTAATGTAGGCTAGGCCTATTGTATTTTTTCTTTTTAAAACCCGTACTTTGGAAATTAAGTGTGTAATTGTAAAAGTATTTAAGTGTGTGTGTGTAAAAAATGCTCAAAACAATAAACAAAAGCAACAAGCAACAACAATGAGAAACAAATATAAAACCGAAAAAAGGATAGATAATTAGACATTTCTGTTTGATCTTAGAAATATATGACGTCACGGATCCCACCTTTCCACGTGTGGCATGAGGTCGCGCGGAAAGGTTTCATCCTCCTTCGATACATCAGTGCAGTGCAGTATCGTGTTCTCCTCGAGCGCGCCCGAGCGCTCTGTTCTCTTCTCTGCCGCTTCACACACGTTAACAGGTGGGACGAAAACACAGATTTACGGGGAAAGTTAAAACAAATACATTGTCACCAAGGACGTTTGAGGAATACCTGCTAAAATGTCTCGAGCCCCGGAGGAGGTGAACAAACTCACCGAGAGCACATATAAGGTAAAAGTCGGTTTAAACTGCGTGTATTTAAACTATCGTATTTGTCACTGACCACCTGTTATTAAACCCAGTACATACAGTCTTTTGAAAGTTATGTTGCTAAGTTAAATAAGTGCTATTTTATGGCACTCTTACAGTTTTGTCATCAGGGTACGTGTAAGTTGTGCAATGAGTCATGAGTGCATTTTAAAGTACTTCAGTTGGGTTTCTGGGTTGAGTTAAGAAACCTGTTTGTGCTGGACTGTTTCTGTTATTGCATATTTGACTGTTCATTGTTTTGCCAAGGGTGTGTTCCTGGGAATGAGCAGAGGAACTGACTAGAATTACATTACAGAAGGGCATTTCAATAGAGACCCAGAGGGCCCTTGAGATAGGCAGGACTTTGATCTCACAGGCAATATAATTATAAGTCAATGTTTAAACGATGCTATATTTAACTACAGTAGAGAGGTATTTTTAGAAAGTAAAGTTACTGGCAATCTCTTTTATTGTGTGGACAATAAAATGTGATTAACATTGAATGGGAAATGTGTCATTTTGAAATGTGGAAAAAGGGATAGTTCACCCGAAAATGACAATGTTGTCATTTATATACCATCATCATCATGTTCCAAACCTTTAACCCCACTGACTTCTATCAAAAAAAAAAAAAAAAAAAAAAAAAAAAAAAAGACATTTTTCAAAATATCTGCCCAGTTGTAGGCACATTCATTTGAGTCAGTTTTTGAAGATCTTAAGTTTCATTCAGCAGCAGTAAGCTGCTTTCCATGTAACTTTGAAATATGAGCTTTGTTCTGCTCTCCCAGAATGTGATGGAGCAGTTCAACCCAGGACTGCGGAATCTGGTTAACCTGGGAAAGAGCTATGAGAAATCAGTGACCGGTAATCACATCACTTCATTTACATTAAAATAAATATGCACCATACTTATGCATTTTCTGCTCAACTGCTCAAATAAACTCAATATTTCTCTAAAAATTGTTGTGATACACGCTGCTTGGATTTCAGTTCCTGTTAATCAATATGAGTTATTCACTCTCCTGCAGCAATGACCTTTGCTGGAAAGGCATATTTCGATGCAGTCTCAAAGATTGGGGAAAATGCTGCCGTATCGCCAGTTTCTAGGGAGCTGGGTGAGTATTACTCTTTAAATCATCACCCAGAGGTCCTAATCTGGTCTTCGCCGAAATGGATGTTCTCTGTGCACAGAGCGGCTTAACATTTCCTTGTAGATGATTCATTGCACTCAACATGTCTTTGAATATCCAGTGCCAGTTATTTCCTCATTTTGTCAAAAGGCAGTTCTACGTTTGTGTCTGCTTTAAGCCGCAGACAGGTTTGGTTCTTGTTGACTTTTTGTGACTCAGCATCAGTTTGATTCATATTGTCTGGAAATAATGACAGAGCTTTACTGTGATTCATAAACTACCACCTGTTTCATGCCAAGTTGTCATACTCACCACCGCAGGTTTGGGTTTTTTTGTGCAAATTACAAAGATTAATGGCTTTGCCTTCACATTCATCTTTTAATTTGCTAAAAAAAAATTGTACACAATGTCCTTATTGCAAATACATTTTTAGGGATGCATGATATATCGGACGGCCACCATATCGGTATCTGCCAATATATGCTTGGTATGTTTTAATGTTATCGGCCCAATAAAAAGTTTTGACAGGTATATTAAGGCTGATAAATAATGGATTATTTCCTTCAGCTGACACCCTTCAGATGCTCACTGTTCACCATGGTGGTTTTGAATTGCTTGAAATATGATTGGAATCACTTCAAAAAAAGGAAATTACAGTTAAGTATTTAACTGTATAAGTTATAAAACATCATTATAATTGTGTGCTTGGGACATGGATTTTAACGGTGAGACTTTTGTTTTTGTAATCAGGCTCTCAAAAATTATATAAAAACTCGAATTGAGATATATCGGCCAATATATCGCTTATCGGCTTTCAAAAATAAAGAAGTATCGGCCAAAAATTTAATATCGGTGCATCCCTAACTTTTCTACTTCCTGTAAATGAGCTTTTGTTCTTCAGTGATGTGTCCTTTTGTGAATGAGTGAGCTCCTTTGGCTTTGTCGTTCCCTGTTCTTCCTGGAATCCCTTTCAGACGGCTCTGATGACCACCACCAGACAGTGTGAATTCTCTGCACATGCCGGCAGCAAACACACAAAGCAAACAGTTACTCTTTGAGACTTTGTCTGCAAACATTTCCGCCCCTAAACCCCTTCCAAAAAGCATCATACCTCAAATGTTCCAAAGGAACATGCAAACTCAAAGTCCTTTCCATCTATATTAACATTTAGTGCAGTCATAAGACGATGCATCATATCAACATCTAATGCTGTAGTGATTACTGGTGCAGACTTCTGTCAACCTGTTCTGTATAAGGAATGCATTGCTTGAGATTGCTTGACACAAGGACTTGATTAAGAGAGCATTGTGTCAACATCAATACGCCTGCAAGAAAGTTCCAGAATAGTTCCAAATAAATGTAGGTTAACACAATTGAATTAATGACTAATTCATTTAACTTAATTAGAACTCTAGACTGCATGTCTGGGCCACACGTGTCATCAAATGAAGATATATAATGAATTACCATTGTAACTCTCCATTTAGTTCCTAAACGGTGATCTAGGGAATTTAAACATCCAATTGAGACTGTATGACTGGAATGTAAGAAGTGCTCAGTTTAGTCACCCTCCGTTTTTCTCTTGCTAACACTCTTCTAAAATTAAGACCATGAACATTCAAATGCAGGAGTAGCCTACTTTTGTTATTTAAACAAAGTTTAGTATAGTGCCCATCAACTGTTTGGTTACAGAAAGAAATTCATGGTTTGGAACAATTTGAATTGCCCTTAAACAGGTAATACATTTGAACTGGTAGCCTTGTTATTATTTATTTATAGAATATGTGTTGAATTTAAAGTGCCCCAATTATGCTATTTTAAAGGTTCCTAATTTTGTTTTGGAGGTATCCTACAACAGGAAGATTAAAGATAATCTTCTAATTTTCTCATAATATACATTGTAAATCACCACATTTTTCAATGTAAATCCCTCCTAAATCTAAATCCCTCCTTTCCGAGAGCCTACTCTGCTCTCATTGGCCAGACGGCACAGTCTGTTACGATTGGTCTACTGCTTACAGCGCTTGTCGGAAGCTAAACGGCTATTACCATAACTGAATTTCAGCTCGGGAGGCTTCCTCAGTCCTCAGCGATTGTACACACTGTAAAGACAGTAATGATGACGTTGATTTTTGCCATATCAATCCAAGTGTAAGTCCTAGTTATTCAACCCGAACCTCAATCGCAAGGACAACTTGAGCATGAGTCAGGACGTTTCTTAGTGATATACTACTCCGTTTGAGGTACAGTATGAGATGTTGCAACTGTAATTCCTCAACATCAGCATTAACTGGTGTATGTCCATCAATAAACCTATATTTCTAATTTATTGCGGTGCACATGCGGGAACTGTATCGGTAATGGTGCATACGTTAGCTGAGCACTAATGTGAATGACTGATGTAACATTAAAGTTAGCAAAACAAATCTAGCTCCATCCTTTGTCATTACTCCAAAGTAGTAAGAACGACAGACAATCTGCATTAATTGACACAGTTTTAAGTAATAGTGGGCCATAGCTGATTTGCAGAACTATACTGTACTTTCATATTATACAAATAAATGCAGGTTCACCTGAAAGCTTACATTAGGAATAGTTTGATTCACACAGTCAATTTAGTTATTGTTGTTGTAGCAAGGATTTATTGTCACAGATCAGGTCTCAGTTTCTTTTGTGTAATTTTAAATTGCTATTGAAAGCATCACCTGTCATGTCCAGAAAACCCTCTTCCTTGTCACAGGAAACCATGGCATCAAAACTGCATTAGTGTTGTTTAAAAAGAAAGGGATTGTATAAGAGCACCAGGTGTTTTGAATATGTTCATTCTTAAGCCTGCTCTCAGTATTAATAATCTGGAAGTGTAGTGTCAATAGTGAAGAAGCACAGCATTGTACAAACATACAGCAGTTGTGTTTGTAATGTTTTTAGTGTGCTATTTTAGGTTACAACCTTACAAGAATAAAACCTTGTTTAGCGTTCATGTAAACACTACATTCAGATTCATCAATTGGAATGAATTCTATGAAGGTAAATCAGTAGCTAAACTCGAGAGCACGTAGATGTGAATTTGAGAACTTGTACAATAAATATTCGTACTTGTATGTGAACATTTACACTCACAGCTCCGATGTGAAAACCTGTAAAATAAAAATCTGAACTTGAACGCTGAGATTTGCACTCGCAGACAATAGTCACAAACCTGTATTCTGAATTTGAAGCTGCAGACAAGCAGTCACAAATGTGTAAAATGCCATTCACAGAAATACAATGACAATCACAAACATGTAAAATATATTTGCACTTCTTCTAACATTCAAATTCGCAGTACAACCTCAAATTGGCAATTGCAACTTCTCAAATCTGTCACTGCAAGTTCAAATTTCGCGCCTTGACTTTTGCTACTCTTTTTGCGATATATGAGGTGCAAAACTGATTTGTGCACTTGTAATTCAGTGGCGGTGAGAGCGGAAGGGGGGCGGGAGCGGGGGTGTTCAAAGGAGCAGTTTTATTGGTTGGGGCCTAGCCAATGAAATGGGACTTCTATTGTATGCGATGATGTCACGAAACCCGCCTCCTCGTAGATGTTCTGAAACGCTAACATGGCTTAATGCATTGGACTGATTTAAAAGACATAAATGATATTATCAAACTTAGTGATATTAACACCATACTAATAATGCATACTACAGAAAAGCAGATGAGCACAGAATATGACGAAAGAAAGCAAATTTGTGTTCAGTGCAAATAAACCAGCTGCCTGTTTTATTAATAATGTATAACGAATTTATATATATATATAACTGTTGGTCCATTAAGCCTCATTAAGCGTTTTCTTGGTTTTCTATGAGAGGAAAATGCTTAAAGTACAATTAAACGAGTTGCGTTCATTTTCTGCTCAATTGCTTTTCTGTATGCTTTATTTATGGTGTTTCCTGAGTTTGGTCTTTTAATACCACTGTCTTAAGTTAACGTGTTGCGTTCATATTCTGTCCTCATCTGCTTTTCTGTAGTATGCATTATTGTGTTTACTAAGTTTGATAATATCATTTATGTCTTTTAAATTAGTCTAATGCAGGGTTTCTCAACCTTTTGCCTACTGCGACCCACTTTTCTCTTGTATGCCAGTCATATGACCCACTAAATAAATCAATAACTGAAATGCCTCTTTAGATCTAGGCTACACCGTAGGCCTATATGCTTATTATAATTAATGATAATCACGAAAACACACAAACATTTTCAATAATTAGGCAGACTATGAGGCAAACTGATTTTTTTACTCACGTTAATGTGATAGCCTACTTGAGACTGCCGCTCTGAAATGATCATATCCAGACGCGGTGGAATTTGGAAATTTTTTGGAAATCACAAATAATAGTTGTCAGCCTATTCCTGCTTTTTGTTTTCGTTGCAGTCACTGTTGAAAATCCCAACTCACAAAGATAGGTAGTGCTAAATGGGAAGAGAAACTTCGTTGCACAATCTGCGAGTTGTGGATATTCATTTCTGGTTTGAATCCAAGGAATGAAAATAGCCTACGATTCGTTGGAGGATCGGCTATACGTTTACGTGCACAACTTTTGTTTCGATCGGACTGAATTCAATCCGATTAATGAATCTGAATGTAGTGTTTACATGAACGCTAAACGTGATCGGGTTAATGTGCGCGTTTATATGTCACAAGATTCAAATCGAATTATATTTTTTTGACATGCGCACGCGGGTGCACCCACAGAGTTTCCCGCTGTTTGCGCATACTAACTATTCTCTTACATTGGTTCTTTATTTGTTTTAAACAGCAGACTTAATATATTATCCATTGCTGGTCATAATTTGGAGACAATGAGCATATGACCCGTTGTGCCATGCTGCTTATTTATCACGCCGTAAAAATGCCCAGCACCCAAATCCAGTCGTCTGTGAATGAGAGTCTGAAACAAGGACTGGTGGGACGTTGTCCTGCTCCACTTCACAGACGCTGAGTG